GGAGAGTATTTAGTAACAGGCATATCAGACTGAGGTACAGAAGTAGAGGAACTAGGCATATCATCAGGCATCCGTATGTTCTCAGAATCAGCAGTTATATTTTGCTGAACATATGAGTGTGGACACGGCTTTATGAAAGAAGAATTTCTTCTATGAACATTTGCGAAATTATCTTTAACAAAATAAGAACGTGGTTTATCTGTTATACTGACAATCTGCCCAGGAACCCAAATTTTGTCTTTTCTAAGAATTATGCTTTCTCCTTCTTTGAAAGCGTTTCTATTTAGTGAGTGATAATTATAGTATTCGGATTTTCTCTGTCTTTTTGAGTTGAGTTTCTCTAAATTAACTGTTGATTTTGAATTCAATAAACTAGGTGCAATTGCTAAGGAAGTGCGCAACAAGCGATTATTTAACAATTCAGATGATGATGAATCAAAACCGGATAATGGAGTGGCACGATATTCTAATAAGGCATTATTGATATCACTACATGTCTCCTGGCATTTTCTCAAAAGGCTTTTGCAGATTCCAACTGCTCTTTCGGCAAGCCCATTAGAGGGTATCTAGGGCTAGATGTTATTACACTGAAATTCCATTGATGGGCAAAAGATTTGAATTCATTGCTGCCAAAGGGAACATTATCAGATACAAATATTAGTCTATAATGGTTAAATAATCATTACCACCAAATGTCAAAATGTCTGCTGCAATAATTTTATAGTATGGTATGTTGGGCCTATCATGTTGAATAAGTGGCTCTTTAGTTGGTTGTCTACTATATTTAAGACACGCTTTACATTTTGAAATGAAATCAGAGATATCTTTACTGAGTCCTGGACAATAATAAATTTTCCTTGTTCTCGACTTGCATTTTTCAATGCCAAGATGAGCACTATTGTGAATATTTTCTATAACATATTTTTGTAATGATTTTGGTACCACAATTTTATCATTGTAAAATAATGAGTCATTAATAAAAGTTAGTTCATTTCGAATTTGGAAGAAAATATTGATATCAGTACAATCAGATTTAACATTATCTGGCCACCCATTATTTATATAAGAAACAATTCTGTTAATAAAACTATCTTTTTCAATTTCCTTTTTAAGAAGTGCGGCATTTGGATCAGACAAAGGTAATTCAAATTCAAAAGATTGAACCATCTTGACGTTTATAAATTCACTATCATGATTTTTTGTATTCAAAAATACTCTAGAGAGCAAATCAGCAATGTACATATGCTTTCCGGGAAGATACTCTACAACATAGTTGTATTTTAGAAGTTTTAGTTTGAGTCTCTGTATCCTACTATTAACTTTGTGAAAATCTTTGTTGCATATAGAAACCAAGGGTTTGTGGTCAGTTTTCACAAGTATTTTTCCCCCATAGACAAAGTTATGATATTTGTGCAAGGCAAAACAAATTGCTAGTAATTCCTTATCAATTTGGGGGTAATTGATCTCACTTTCAGTTAAACTCCTTGAACAGAATGCATTTTGTAGCAGACATCCACTCAGACCAAATTGACTACTATCAGCTTGTATTTTAATAAGAGTAGTAGAGTAAAAAATTTCAAGATTGGGTATAGTTGTGATTAGTGTTTTTATTTAATTGAAAGCTTGGTTATGATCACTAGTCCAATTGAATGGTACTTTATCTTTAAGCAATTCTCTGAAGAGCGACAACAATTTTGAAAGATCAGGTATGTATTTAGTTAAGTAGTTGAGCATACCTATTCTTTTTTACTTCTAGGTTCTTTCAGCCCTAAAATAGCTTCAATGTACTGAGGATCAGGTCGAACTCCTTCCTTAGAAAAGATTTGACCAACATACTTGACTTCATTGACTTTTATATTGAATTTTCTCTTTATTAAATTCCAATCCAAATTTTCTTGCTCTCTCAACAACCTTTTTTAGAATTCTGTCATGTTCATCTTCTGTATCAGCAGCAACTATAAAATCATCAAAATATATCCCAATGCCAAGATCCCCAAAAAGTTTTTCATTAGTCCTTTGAAAAACTTCTGGACTGACATTAAGTCCAAATGGAAGTCTCTTGAAACAGTATTCCAAATGGTCTTGAGAATGTACAAATTTTCATACTTTCCTTTTCCAGAGGAACATGATAGAACCCTTCTTTTAAATCTAAAAATTGATTTATTTTCAAATGTCAACCCCAATTCGTCAATTGTTGGAATGGGATATTGATCATTGCAAATATATTTATTCAAATATATTGGGTCTAAACAAATTCGAATTTTGTTATTTGATTTTTCTACCAGAACAATGTTGTTCACCCATTTAGTTGGTTCTTCAACTTTCATGATGATGTCTCTTTTTGATAAATCATCAAGACTTTTTTAGTGGTCCCTTTATCATATCTGGTATACGTCTGCAAGAACTAACAAACGGCACATAATCTTTTTTCAACACTATTTTATAACTGTATGGCATTTTACCAGTGCCCTTGAAAATATCTGAATAGGTATTAAAAATTCATCTTTGTTATTAAAACTTATGAGGTCAATTCTTTGTACCAAATTAAGTTTTTTACATGCATTGAGGCCTAAAATTGGCGAACTGTCAGTATCTACCAACAGAAATCTGATGATACACTTAATTCCTCTAACAAAACATTTCAATTCCACTGAGCCTGAAGTTTCAATTTTATTATTTCCATATGTCACTAGAGACAATTTGTTATTCACAATGGGCTCTTTACAGTTTAACTTATTAAAAACCCCCAAGGGCAAACAATTGCAAGCTGCCTCAGTATCTATTTTAAACTCAATGGATATGTTATCAATTGCAGTTTCAACTGTCCAAGTTTCATTCTCATTATTAAAACTGACATTATCTAATGTAATACTTTCTACAAACAAAGTATCACTCTCATCGCTACTGTTATCTACTTCTACTTCATTAACTACTTTCTTAGACCTATTACCTTTACTTTTAGAGCTATTGTTAGAGTTAATTTTGGAGATATTGTCTCTACGATTTCCCCTATTTAAACAACCAATAGCAAAATGATTTGGTTTTCCACAAATCGTACAAGTTTTTCCAAAAGCAGGACAGTTTCTTGGCCCATGTTTTCCTCCACACTTCCTACATTTGAGAGTATCATCTGATTCTTGTTTGGTACTTTTATATTGGCTCGTACCTCTGTGACGTTCAAACCTTACAGCATCAACTTCTGTTTCATTATGCAGGTCTTTTGCTTGAACCTTACTCATTTCAGAACTGCGACAAATCAACTCAGCTTTTCTTAAGTCAAGTTGTGTGTTTTGTAGTAAACTTTCTTGAAGACCAGTGTCTAGGATACCACTGACGATCCTATCTCTAATTAGAGAGTCCTGGAGAGCTCCAAAGTTACACAGCTCAGCAAGCTCTTTTATCTCTGTTAGAAAACTATCAAAGCTTTCACCCTTTTGCTGTTTTCTAGTAAAGAATTTATACCTATCATATGTCTCGTTTCTTAATGGTTCACAGTAGTCTTTGAAAGCTTTTACTACTACATTAAAGTTCTTCTTTTCTTCCGCCGTCAGTCTGAAAGTTCTGAATTTCTTCTGGGCTTGATCACCAGCAATATTAAGCAGAATTGCAACTTTTGTTTCATCATCTTTGGCTATCAGACCAGTGGCTTTTAGGTAGATATCCAAGCTGTCCAAAAATGTGTTCATATTATTATGGATGTCTTGATTGAACACCAGCTTCTTTGGCGCGTTGAACTTGGCTTCCATTTTTATTTTTTATATGTACCTACTCCTTTGTCAGAACGGTACAACTTTCAACACTTGTTATGCCCAAAATCTTATGGACAATTTCAATTATTGATATGAATACCTGACACCATGTATCATGTTCTGGATATGGAAAATTCATTATTAGATTGTTGACTTTATTAATATGCTTTATTATAATTTATTACATTTTATGTTACACAAGTCTCTCTTATGTCTCCTGTAATATATCTAATGCCAGGATTGCCAACCGTCATGTTAACAGTCATAACACTGTGGCCAACCTGTCTAAAGGTGAACCTACATGTGACAGTTTGTATGTTAAGAATTTCAGTAGCTCCTCTTCAGATCCTTTGGCAATAGTCATTCTTTGGAAGTGTGGTTGGGTTGACGATGACTAACTTATCATGGACGGTCATGTTCAAGTACATTGTAGCTAAAGGCTCTACTCGGTTTGAATTTCACTGTCTTGAAATCTCCACCAATGATGCGAATAATATCCTTCATATGGATGGTAATCTTGGGAAATGTGGCAATTGATTCCCCTTCATATCTAAATCATCAGTAATTTTGTCTCATGGATTCTCACCAAATATACATTTTCTAATTCTTTATTTTTTGCAAATTATGAGTCAACCATTTGATCCAATTGCATCGCTCTGTATGAGAATTTACGTAATTTTCCTCGTAGGATAAGTATTTCGCCAATATTCAGCTCAAAAGTTGACTAAAAAATGTTGAGGACAAAACTTGAATACATATATATATTTTTCATTCACCTATATTTGAAGTGCTGTATCTTGAGAACCATCAGACCTACTACAGTGCTGCTTTTGTACCAAAATCGTGGCGAATTCAATCTTCTTCAAATAAGGTTTCATTCTTTTTTTGCTACTGCCCATTCTTTTTGGAATTATCAGCAAAAAATCAAAAAAGTGCGATTCAATGTTTTTGCGAATATCTCAAAAGGCACCAGGAAATTTTGTTGGATAATTCCAGATCCGGATTCAGCGACCCGAAAAGCATGGGAAACGATGATAAAAACGACTACCTACTGGATTTTTTGCATCGTAAAAACTACCGTTTGCCTGAAATAATGTTTCTCATAATTGCAGTTGCTTATTTCCTTTCATAAGTGCCTTGAGACAATAATAGAGTGAGTCTATTCTTTGAAATTCCATTATTTATGGTGAATCCACTATCAAAAAATACAATTTTAGAAAAATTATTACAGTACAAATTCATGAAACATACCTTCTACTATGGCCCCTTCATTAGGTGTTGAATATCCTTCGCCTGGTGTGATGTGTATTCTCTCAATGCCACCATCATTTTTTGGACTCAAATCTTCACCTTGCCAACTGATGACTTCAACCTGCAGATATACAAAAGAATCATAGATTTAGTAGGATTTGTGCAGATGCAGCTAATGGGACTCAAAAGAAAACTCTCATTAGTTACTTTCGGAAGAGCTTTGGGAATTCTTCATTTTTTATTTTCAAAAACTTTATTCGAATAATGCAGAAATGGTTACGTCACAGTTTTGAGTAAATTTAAATAACAACACTATCCAAAAAAGGTTATCCAAAGCAGCACGGACATGCTGGTCTCGGAAAACTAGCTGAACAATATACATAATTAATCTATATACAATACAGTACAACGAAATAATTCTATTGATTATTTTTTGATATATCTGGAAACCAATGAAAACTGTCAATATCTGTCATTAATATTGATTTTATCCAATCAAGACATCATCATAGTGGGAATAATCTACTTCCACTATTGCCATGGGAATAATGTGAAGTATTTTGTTTTTGTTGATTGACAACGTATATTTTATTAATTTGACACTTCTGTTATCAATATTCATAAAATAAGCAAAAATGAACAAAAATCGATTCAGTACTTCTTCTGTTAATGAAATCAGCGATAAAATCAGATAAAATGCATGTAAAAATACTACAATAAGTAACGTATCGATCTGGAAACAGTTTCAATGTTTCTGTGACGAACGAGGTTACAAACTGGAAGAGAATACAACAATGAAACTAGCCGATATTTTGAAAGACTATGGAAAAGTATAATGGAGAAGACTATAAGGAAGCCGTTATAAAAACAATGTGGAACAAAACTGCAAAATTAATGCAAGATATGTAATTCAATGAATTCAATAGACGAATTGATCCTTTCAGAGATATCGAATTCAAAACCGCGAGAGAAGCTAGAAACACAAAGCGTAAGTTACTACAAAAAGAACCTGAAAAAAGGAAGCAACGTTCTGCAATTCTAAGTAAGTGAGAAATAATGGACATGATTAAACGGTATGACGAAAACACACCGTCCGGCTTGCAAAAGAAGTTCTACCATATTGCCTCATACGAATCAGCATGGCGTGGTGGAGAGGGTTCTCAATGCTTGGTGCATTATTTTAAAGAAGAAACAGACAATGTGGGTTTGGCTACTGGGCGAATGGAGTATAATCCGATATTCTCCAAAACTGCACAAGGTGGAGCAGAAAGATGTGCCAATAGTAAATGGTTGATACCAAATATCAAAAACTTTGATTTGATATCTGTCCTGTTCGGTTGCTCAAGAAATTATTAAGTAAGCGGAATACGAATATCAAGACTGATAGACTCTTTTTAACAGTGAACATTGCTTGGGATAAGCCATATTCTACAGGATGGTACAAGAATATGCCGATTGGGGTGAATAGTATGTCGAAGTGGATGAAGGAATCTGCAGAGATGATAGGACTAGATATTAAAAAAATCAAAGTTACTAACCATTCTGCGCGTTCAACTGCAGTGTCTCATCTTGCCAAATCAGGAATTAATGAGCAAGAGATTATGAAAATTGCGGGCCACAGTTCATCTGCCTTACTTACAGTTGGATAAAGAACATTATTCAAATTTGATTGGAGATTTAAGAGGAAGTGAGAACGCATAGCTACCTTTTATTCTGTGTTGTCCTCATCTGTTGACTGTTGAAATAAAATTATGCTTTTGACGTGAGGTTTTCCTAAAAGAATCAAAAAATAATCTATCAAATACCACACGGGAGTTCGATAAATTAGAGAATATTTCTCCAGATAGTTTGTCGAACTTGTTGCCATTCGGCAAGTCACTCGAGCCCTTTGGGCTCGAGTGTCTATTGCCTGGCAACAAGTGCTCGAAAATCTGTCGAAATATTCTCAATTTATTCTCACTCTCTTGTGATATTACTAGTGAAAATTCACTTAAGAATTCTATAACACATATTATATACCTAACCAAATATCTAACAGTAATTCTGGGATAGAGAAACGAAGAAGAGATTTATGCCGATCATTCATCAAGTATGCTAGTGTGAAAATTCTTCATTTTATTCTTGAATATACTGATATTAGGGCTATCTGTTATTTCCTTGGGTAGAGTGTTATAAGTTTTCATGCATAGTGTAATGGGATTATTCCGCAGCGCCTCCGCCAATAAAAGAGGTACAGCTCCCAAGTTCCCCTATGGTTATGGATCATCCTAGAGGCTCAATTTTTTTTTCCTGGGTAGTCAAAGGTGCAATCGATGCATCTTATCGAATGGATTCTCATTTTTTTACATAGGCTAATTTATTAACACCTGTAAAGTAGTGCGTTTTTGACCGATTTTGTGAATTTTTTTCTACGTTATGGAATCAAAAATTGAAAAACTACTCGATAAGATGCACAGATCAGATGTAGTACTCTTGAAAAATATTTTTTTTAATAAAATCTCATTTGGTTTTCGCATGGGAAATTGGGAGCGGAGGCACCGCGAAGAATTTTCCCTGTAGGCGCGGCACTTAACAAAAATAAGCTCCTCCCATTAAGTTCAAATGCATTATTGATCCAATTTGTCTTTTCATAATACGAACCTATTTATATTTCGTTCAATATACCTACCAGACTTATACCTGATATATAATAAATATAGGTATCATGGAATCAACAAAGCAACTGTGTTATATCTACTCAGTCAATAGATTTTTTCTAATTCATCGAATACAGGGAAGTACTGGAATGTTCTAAACGATATTTTAAGTACCTATAGTCCAACAAATATATAGATATAAGGAACATGAAGAAATGATTAAATGGATCAGGATGATTTGTACTATATATAGACTAATTTTTTTCATGCAAAGTTGAGCCAACAAAAAACACAGATGCTACGTCATACCGCCATTTCTTATGAATATGTGAGATAAGGAAACTTCCAGCTCAATAATCGGCAAAACACGGATCCAATGTTGATGATTACAGGGATTGAAAAGGGATATGATGCAGATGAATTCATAACTGAACTAATAGAACAAAATCCAGTCCTGAAAGATACCTTTGGATCTGATGTACGATCAAAAATAAAATATATAACAAAGAAAAACTGCCGGAATGATAAGAAGGAGAACTGGGTAGTACAAACAAGCCCTGAAATATTTAGATGGATTATGAAAAACGATAATCTAACATTTGATCTTACTAAAGCATATGTAAAAGAATATCTGAATATTGCCATGTGTTTCAAGTGCTGTAATTTTGGCCACATCACCAAATACTGTAAAAGTACACCATGCTGTCATAAGTGCAGTGGAAATCACGAAGGTAAACTATGTCCTGAGAACACGAGATTAGAATGCCCTAACTGCAAACGACTTAGGCTGCAAGATAGGGTACACACAGCCAGAGACCCCAAATGCCCAGCTTTCCTGCAACGAATAGAAAAACACAGAGAAACCACAAACTATCAGCCAATGCACCAGCCTTTTTTAGTATAGAAGTACAGTCAGAACACATAGACTCCCAAGTGCAAGAAGTGACAGAAATTCAACAGCCAGAAGTGACTTCCGAAACAAATACTACCACAAACGGAAAACATGATGTCATCAAGGTAATGCATATCAACGCAAGATCAATCTGCAACAAATTCATGGATGTCCGTACATTTATTGAAGAAAACGAGCCACAGATAGTGGGTATATCAGAGACCTGGTTGAGTACTACTATGAACTCTGGATCATTTAATATAGCAAATTATTCTCTATTTCGATCTGATAGGCTCACCAGAGGTGGTGGTGTCGCTTTTTATGTAGATACAAAGATGAACCCCAAAAAGCTTAGCCCAAACATGACTGATAGCACACCGGATATTGACCAACTATGGCTGGAAGTGAAGATATGCAAACTACGAGCTGTTGTAGGAGTATTGTACAAACCACCAAGTATACATTTTTCTAGTATTGAGTTTCTCTATGATGTCTTCTCAGAAATTACCCAAATGTATGACTTAGTCATTCTTTGTGGAGATTTCAATATCAACATTCATTCTGAACTGGCCGATGCAAAATTCATTCTGGACCTGTGTGAAACCTTCAACTTCACGCAGCTCATTACGGAACCTACCAGAGTGTGTGAGCAATCCAGCACAACAATTGATCTTATTCTGATAAATGACAGAGACTGTGTAGGTGATAGTGGGGTCCTTACTTGTGATCCAATAAGAACTGATCATGAAGCAGTATTTGTTGATATTAATTGTTCTCACTTCGATTATAAACCAAGATCTAAGCAAGTTAGAAATTTTCGACAGATTGACATGCCTCAATTCACTAGACTTGATTGAATGTAACTTCACGCCAATGTATTATATGACCGATATTAACCAAAAAGTAACCTTCTTCAACAACATCATTTTGTCAATTTTCGACGAACACGCTCCTTTGAAAACTGTGAAATTTGCGAAAACTAGGACTCCATGGCTCACATATAATCTAAGATGCATGATAAAATTAAAAAACCAAGCTTTCAAAAAATATAAACGGAGTAGTTCGGCAGCAAATAGAAAATACTACTGTGAACTGAGAAATATTGTCTCTACAGCAACAAAAAGTGAGAAAGCTGCTTATTTTTCATATACATTCAACAGCTGCAGAGACACCAAAAATATGTGGAGTGAAGTGAATAAACATAAAATAAACAATAAAAATCATAGACAAATTCCAGAAGATTTATGTGATGCCAACTTAATTAATGAATTTCTAGTTAACAGTATACCCCAAATAACAGTGAATCCAGATATAATCCTTGACCTGATAACTGACTCAGCAAACACTGATGGTTACTTCAATTTAGAACTGATTACACAAAATGATGTTCAATCAATGCTCATGTCAATCAAATCTAATGCCATTGGTGCTGATGGAATTTCTGCATATATGCTTAAACTATGTTTGCCATACTGCTTAGACCCTCTAACTCACATTATAAATTATTCTATGGAATCAGGGACGATACCCAATATATGGAAAACAGCATTAGTATGCCCGGTTCCAAAGAAAGATTGTCCCACTTTGAAAGAC